AATATACAAGGTTTTGTAGCGTGTTGTCATAAATCTTGAATGATTGTTCATTGAAACTGAATTTATCTATACTAGCTTGTGGTTAGAGGAGTCTTCAAAGTATAGGCGGAACTTGTCATTTGAGGTTATAGCCTCTAACCTTTTGAGTTTAATTTCTTGTAAAATTCTGAATGTATTCTAATATTGATTTTCTTTTACAAAAGCTTGTGTACAATGTGTTGTTAGTCTTTTTCACTAGAACTTACTGAAACAAGTTCTCTTTTTTTCCTTAATAAAGAGTTGTTGCAATGTTCATAACATTTAGAATAAAGATTTAATTTTCAGCATCCAGCTAGACTTGTCATTTGTTTTTTATGGATGACGACTCTTGGTCGTAAGAGGGGTGTCTTGGTGATTCTTTTTCAACTGTAGCGTTCTAATATAAATTTGCTGCTTATTTGTGCAGTCATATTTTGATTGGAAGCCTGAACTTGTCTTCTGGCTGATTCTATGCATATGTAGTTTCTTCGGTTCATTTTCAAGCACAATTCTTGTTACCAAAATAAAAGGTTTGCAAGACTCTAATTAAAAGCTAACATCTGATCCTCCAATTGCAGGTCTGGAATCATGATTTTTTTTGGGAATCTATGCAACCTGGAGGAGGAGACATGCCAGAACTTGGCATGCTTGAGCAGATTGAGAAGGATTTTGGTTCCTTTACAAATTTCAGAAACAAGTTTGCAGAAACAGCTCTTACACTATTTGGCTCTGGCTGGGTTTGGCTTGTCTGTATGTCCTTCCTCCAGTTAATTTGCTTTTAAACCTTGAATTGAACCTTTTGGAGTTGTTGATTTAGAATTCACTCATTTTGAAACTGTCTTCAAGATAGAGTAGTTTCATAGTGGTAACAAAAAGGTATTTAGATTTTTTTCAAATCAAAAAATTTGTGGTGTAAAATTCAACATTTGAGAGATGTTCTGCGTTCATGTTTCGACTTGAAACCTTCTATTTCCTTGAAAGGCTACCTGAAGAGGAATTCTGATTATACAAGGGGGTGAGAGAAATGCACCAAAATTGTTCTCATCTTACTTTACTTTAACTTAATTAAATTATTTGCATTTGAGCGTGCAGCAGAGTACTGAAGAGTTATTAGTTTGTGAGCAATGTAGCATAAATTTCATTTTGGTTGTTGCCAGGTATTATGCTCCTTTCAGTTCTGAGTATTATTTAGCATGTCACATTCCAAAGAAAACCACTTATTGTGTGTGCGTGTGCACATGTGCATCTGCATACACATGCATACATGCTTACATATATACATATAAACACACTAAAAAAATTGTTTTAGATGTTTGTGTTTGTTCCAGCGAAAGGAGCAGATAGAAAGCAAAACTTGTTCATTTTGCTTATCATTATGATCTTCTTTTTTTATTGTTTTTTGGCAACCTATTGTTTTACCAACCATTTCCTTTTCCCCCCTCTGTGTAATTTGTTTGCAGTGAAGAGAGAAGAACCACGACTAGAAGTAGTTAAAACACTGAATGCAGTTACGCCAATTGTATGGGGTGACATTGTATGTCAATCTCTATGACCTAACATATTTGATTTTCTTATCATTAATTGCACTGGTCATCCTTTTTTTTTTTCCTTTCGCAGCCTATCATCAACTTAGATATGTGGGAGGTAAGTTTATAATCTCTCTTTCTAACACACATACTGATGGTTCTAACATTTTAAGCTGTTTATAACTCTTTTGTTTGCATGTCTTGCAGCATGCTTACTATCTTGACTATAAGGTATGCACCATCACTTGACATCCCTCTTTCTTCTATCATGAGTTTTTTTCCTGTATTGATCACGGGGCATTCTTTGAACAGAATGACAAAGAGAATTATGTCAACGCATTTATGGACCACCTTGTATCGTGGAACATGGCGATGGCACGCATGGCCCGTGCAGAGGCATTCGTGAATCTAGGCGAACCCAAAATTCCTATTGCTTAACATTTGACCCGGGAACTATGATTCAGCAGTCTCTGGTGGCTTCCATGTGACTGGGTCAGAGGTGATCTGTTCAAGACATTGAAGAGAGATAACTTCCAAGTGATTGCAGGTCAGAAGTGATTCATTTGAGACATTGAAGGTAGAAATGCAGTCATGTTGGAGTAAAGAGATTAGTTCTCTCACTAGTTCAGTCCTTCATTTTTGTTTGGTTACACAAACAGATCCCCTGATGTTTTCTGGGGATTTCCAGGAATCAGATTAGTTACAGAAGATGAGGAAATGTAGTAGTAAACTAATTGGTTCTCCTTTGTCATTGGTAATTATATAAATGACCTTAATGTTGAAATTGAGGACATGTTATAATGAATTTGTTCTGACTAATTAGTATGGTTAGCTCCAGAAGCACCTTGGCAGCTAATTAGTATGGTTACATTATGGCTTTTGGAAACTGTACTCCTGTGATATAAATGGAATGCCAACAAATTGCACTTATTTATCTTGAAGCATTTCCTCCTCCTCTTTTGCGGTCAACGTGATTAATATTTCAGTTCTGTCTCCCCTTTTGCTTATTCTTTTTCCTCCTTGAAGCGGATTTGTATGTGCACACTCATCAGAGAAATAGCTTTCTAAAGCTGATGCTTAATCCTGTTTCAAAGCAGAACCCATGAAAGGTCCCCATATCATTTGGCCATAATATTTCTCCTCGGATGGCATCATGAAATGGACAACATTTGTCAAAACTCAAGCACGGGAAATTGTGATAGCTGTTTATTAGTTATCAAAGTGTGGTAGCTATTACAGCTAGGAATTTCATCAGCTTTGAAATCAATCTCAAAAATAAAAATAAAAATGTTATAGTGCTCAGAAAATAATTAATAGCATTTTATTAATTACTTCATGGACTCATCTTAAAAAATACAAAGACACAGATAAAAAGAGAATAGAAATCATGACCGTCAAAAATTATAAAAATATTTTTATGTAGAATTTTTTTCTCTTACTTGTATTTAATTTTTTTTTAATGAATAACTATTAAAATACTATTAGTTATTTCCTCAGAATCATAATGTTTTTCACCAATCTCCAACACCAATAATTTTTTTTCCTAAGAAATTTTTGATCTTGGGTAGAAATTCTAATTTAAAGGATGTTATATTGTTGTCATGTTCCACAGCACCATCCACAAATGTTATTTATTTTCCAAATAATAAAAACATGTCACTTTTATAAAAATATGCCATCACAATTGACAATAATAATTGAAAAAAAAATAGACAACAAAAACAATTGTGAAATTGAATAATAGATAGATGATAACACCAGAAAAATTAGGATTTTTGCCTTATATTTATTTTACAATCTAAACTCTTAAAATAGATAAATTGTATTAACTGTCTTTGTATATAAAAAAAAATAAGGGAACAAATTAACAATTAACAAAAAAAAAAAAAACTATGCCTCGTGACTTACTTAATTTGGATTAGAATAGTAAAATTATAGTTTTGTCATTTGCAAAAAGTCAAAAGAATTTTTTTTAAAAGGTAAATATATCTTTTCATAAAGTTCATATGTCATTCTTGAATTGTTTGGCACTATTTTTTTTACAATTTTTAGAATAGTAAAATTATAGTTTTGTCATTTGCAAAAATCAAATGAATTTTTTTTAAAAGAATAAATAAATCTTTTCATAGGGTTTATTTATCATTCTTGAATTGTTTGAGATAGCAATGTTTTTTTTTTTTTTGCAATTTTTAGAATACTTAAATTACTATTTTTCCTTTAAAAGTGAAAAAAGAAAAAATTGTCTTGGGTCGGAGGGGCTTTTTAGAAATTTAACTTTTCCATGAACAATGTATAAACTGAATTGCCCTTGACATAAAGAAAACTTAACCTTGGCTTCAAGGGTTTATTCATAATTTCATAGTGGCTTTTTTACAATACTCATTTAGTACCAGGTGCAATTACATCCCTTTATAAATATTAAAACAAAAATTATTGGTGTATAAATAAAATGAGTCAATGAGGAAGCCGTTCCATTTTGTTTGGGTGGTGCATACAGTGATGTACTATAATAAAAAATATTCTTAAATATTTTATAAATCATTATAGCATGGATTATCGCTCTACATGACACATGTGATGTGATCCTCTCTAATTTAATTGCGAATAACTTTTCTTTCTTTCTTTTATCTTGTTCTCTCTCCTTCTCAAATTTTATGTTTGTCCTTGCAAATTTTTATAGCAATCCTTGGATTTGTTATTCCTCAAGATTTGGTATATGTTGTTTTAATTGTTATTTTTTTATTTAAATTAATTTATAAAATTAAAATTTATTTTTAATTTCATCATCTTTAAATTTTTTATTCTTAAATTTTTTATATGTCATATTTGGTTATTTTAAGCTTATTTTTTAAATTTCATCCTTCAATTTAGTTTAATTATAAATTAAATTCAAGTATTTTTTATTTTTTTTTATAAGATTTTTGGCTGATTTTTAAAATTGTTCTGATTATCTAAAAAAAAATTTATTTATTATTTGTTGTTATTTTTTTAATTATTTTGTTAAATTAACTCGACTTATTTGATTTAGTATGAGTTATGACTTTTTATTTTAGAAAAACATTGATATTTTTTTACTTATTCAAAACAATTTGATCCGACTCGTGGAATTGCATGAACCACCGAGTTATATTTACTCAAGCCATTGTTTTAGATTTTTTTTAAATTAAATGTTTTTTTTTCTGTTTTTGGCTTTTAATATTTTCTTTATTATAAATAGTTTTTTTAATTTATTTTGGTTTAAATTTTATAGAATTATCATGATTTTATGGCTAAAACATGATTTTATTTAAATATACTTAGTTTTAATCAATCTAATTTATTATTTTTTAAAAATATATTTTTTAATATATTATTATATTAAAAAATTTCCAGTATACATCAGATTTTTTACTTGCCAATATCTTCTCATCTATTTTAAGTTATAAAAGAATATTTCGACCCGATGGCAGCGGCACAAAAAATCTAGGAGAGCTAAACGACAGCATCACAAATTCACGAAACGAAAGTAAATATACTCCCTTTTTCAGTAATAGAATATTTCTCTTTCTTTTTCCATAAAACTTGTTAAAATGGTGTCCCTTTTATCAAGAGTTATCAAACATTAATCTCTCTCTAGCCCATCTCCTCTCTCTCTCAATCCAACCGGCAGAACTCGATATCAATTTCAAGAGGTGAAAACTCTCTCTTTAGACTCTTAAAGATTCAAGCTTTGAAGTTCTTTTTGTACATCTAAGGCTCTAGTTAATATTTAAGTATTCTCTTGATAACCTTTTGGCATGTGTGATTTCAAGCTGCTTTTAATGCTGGGTTTTCTTTTTCTTTATCAATTATGTTGTGTATATGGTTAAAGGAATCGACTTTTCCATCATTGTAATATGTTTAGTATAATATATGATATACCTTAATGTATAATCTTTTCTGTTTCTGGGACTTCGATTGTACTATGTTGATAATAACCATCAAATCTTGATAAATTTAGAAACAAATTTAGAAACCCTTTATTGTTTTTCAGAGAAAGATGTTATTGTTGAAGCAAATTTTGGGTGATAGGAAGCCTAAGGTTTCAGGATTAATGATGTCAAGCCGCTGTCCTTTTTCAGGTTTGAAGTTATTTTTACAGTCACTGCCTTTAGCACATTAGTGTGGAGACAAGTTTGAGTGTCACAAGGGACTGAAATTGGCTCTCTTTGATCTAACAAAATGACAGAAATTTTTGGATATACGGCTTGCAGACATTTATCCCAGATGTTTCTGGCTGTTTTCTTTTTTCATGGTTCTGAATACGTTTTAGCGGCTGCTATTCACGGGAGATCAAAAGTTAATCTTAGTTCACTTTTGATCAGCAAAGCTTATGTGTTTGCGATGATGTTTTCATTGCTCGAATATGTCGTTGAGATTGCTTTATTTCCTGGGTTGAAGGAATATTGGTGGGTAAGCAATTTAGGTCTCGTGATGGTTACAATTGGAGAGATTATTCGGAAACTAGCAATTATAACAGCTGGACTAGCATTCACGCATCTGATTAAGGTTTATCATGAGGAGCACCATAATTTGATTACTCATGGAATCTATAGGTTTTTTCGCCATCCATCATATACTGGTTTTTTAATCTGGTCAGTTGGCACTCAGATAATGTTGTGTAATCCCATATCGACAATTGGATTTGCAATTGTTGTCTGGCGCTTCTTTGCTCAACGGATACCATACGAAGAGTTTTTCTTGAGGCAGTTTTTTGGGTTGAAGTACGAGGAATATGCTTTGCGAACTCCTTCTGGGGTTCCTTTTGTGAAGTGAAATCTTATGGTGTCTGCACAAACAGTTGAACTCATCTGTAGCACTCATCTTGCTTCATGAAGATAGCTTCAGAAAAGTTCCAGTGATGCTTTCTTGAAGAGAGATGGAACTTCTTTGAAGCTGAACTGATCATCCCAGTGAGCTTAAATTTGCCGTTACTACATTAGGTGTTAAAGCTGACTCTAATTTCTTGTTGTCAATCCATTTAAAATTTCCAAATTCATTGGAATGGGATAATTTTTGTTCTTTGATCCTACACCAAGACTGTAAGTCTGTAATCTTGCGTATGCTTTAAACAATGATATTTTTATTTATATGCTCATTTGAAAATATTCACTTGCTGTCATTTATGTTATAGGATTTAATGCCAAAGTTATAGAACAAACCCATACATGGTCTGCTTGTTGGCAATAGAGTAAACACTGTTATTATTAAATGATCCACAGTCTTGCCTGATCTCTCCCTCGTTCCCTGTTTTAACCCCTGCAGTAGTACCTCACCTGATCGTGGCTGTGATAAAGTGACTGTAAAATAGCTCTTGATATTTGGCCATTAAATTCACATAAACCTGAGTTCCTGGGTCCGAAGCCAACCGATCCTTTCCTAGCAAGCCAAAGCCCTTCTGAAGATTATGGTAAATGGCGTTGTCTAATTCAATGCTGTCTGATCATTTGGCGCAAGAACAGTTGGATCAAAATTCGCTTGAGGAAATGTTTCAAGAAATTCTTTAGCATGGTTTTGGTTCATGTTTGGGTCAACGTCAAGTGACAGGTTGCAGCTATAAATTCTGGACATAACTCCTAGCAGCGAGAGGCACCGACCGAGTGGGCTTCCATGTCGAGGATAGATAACCCTTTGGATTGGAAGAGTGAGGTTATTTGAGAGACTGTCATTCGCGTGAAGAATGTTTCCCGCCACTCTCGAAGCCTCAGAGACACGGCCATCTGGCCCATCTCTTCTTCCCATTTTCACTTCAAACCTAAGCTCTTAGCTGAGTAGTGCACGAATATCGAGTTGGGATTGCTGACAAACTTCAAACCTATATTAATTTCTTAGCTCTTACCATTGTAACTGTCTCTTGTAACAATTGCCAAGACATCTGCACAGGGAACCACTCCTGAACAATATGATTCAACAGCTTTCTTGGCTAAAAAAGCAGCAAGTAAAAAACATTTCCAGATAAAGACAGGTTTATTTCTGCATCCCTTTCTACTTTTACAGTGTTGCTTGATCACTGATGCATCACAACCCTCCATGAAACAACCAAAGATGATGTTAACAGAAATCTTGAGATTTATCAAAGATTGAAAGTGGAAAGCTGAAAAGAAACTGAATAGATTATGAGCAGAAAATGGGTCTAACCTCAACAAAGCAGCCTTGGGAGAAGATTCGGAGACTCATGAGCTTCTGAAAACTTGTAAGCAACTACATTAAAGATGTGACCATCCTCTGCATTGTATGTTAAGGCCAAGGCAAACCTGGGAAAGAAATTGAAGAACCAAAAACAAGGCTTTAGCCATAGTGACTTGGAAGTTTTAAAAGATAAAATACTCTTCACATCAAAATGTTTATATACTAGCAGAAGGTTGGACACCGAAGACTAGTTTGCTTGTAAGAACTCTCAACTTGCCTCTCTTTTCCCCATTACCTTTCATCATAATTCTACTTCCAATTTTGGGTCTTTCTTTCTTTTGGCTTCAAGCAATTTGATCTCTATGTCATAAGGGGTGGAAAATGAGTTCGGTCTTTTTTTCCCTTCTCTTTTTGGTGGTGGACTCCATGAGAACATGACAAGGGTTTAGAGAGATGAAGTGAAGTGTATTGTCTTTAACCAAAATAAGCATATCAATCTCAATCAAAATTTGAGGTTATAGTTACTTTACTAATTGTTTTTTATTTAAAAATATATTAAAATAATATTTTTTTTTTAAATAATTTTTGATATCAACACACTAAAATTATAAAAAAATAATTTAAAACAAAACAAAATTCAAAGCACTTTTTTTTTATCACAGAAACAAAAATATTCTTATTAAGCAAAAAAAAAAAATTGTTGGTCACTAAATAACAAATGTTTAGACTATTGTTATTGCTAAAAAATAAAACACACACACAAAAGTTTAGTGACACAAGAATGGCATTGTCAAGAATTGCCTTGTTTTGTCTCTTGAATAGAGGTGTCTTGTTTTTCGAGTTTTTAAAATGAAAATTATGTATAGGATAAATGAAAATCAAAACGCCCACCGTGGGGCTCGAACCCACGACCACAAGGTTAAGAGCCTTGCGCTCTACCAACTGAGCTAGACGGGCTTGTTGTTGAGTGCTGGTTTTTTTTATTTTTGATTAATTATCTTCTTGTAAACCTAGGCCACCGAAAACTTGTTTAGCCATTTGTGCAACGAAAAGGGCTGAGGGCTGTCCACATGAAGGCCGAGACAGGGAACTTTTGTGCTGTAAATTTATTCTGGGATGAGATGCTTTCATCTATTTTTTTTTATAACACATGGATGAGGACTTCAATTAATATTTCTTTTCCAAATATTTTCTTGCCAAATGGATGCAGGATACCATCCAAATAGCCTGCCCGTCCAGCTATCATGGGACGAAACATTGCTAGGAACTTGGAGATCGGTATTGTATTAAAATAGAAACATCTTACAACATAGAAGAATGTCATAATGTGAATTGAAGTATCCTATTTAACTTCCCCCAGAAGAAAGATAGCAGTGACTCTTGCAATTGATCATTGAAGGAGTCACAGTGTCTTCTAACCTCGCTATCACTCCCTGCCTTAACTCCAATTTGATACAACTTTATCATGATTGCAACAAAGGAACTCGAGTTAACAGGTCCAAACCCAACATTTGGTCAGTTGCAAGCCACCCAAGAACTTTTTTAAGGTTTTGTTGATAAGCATTGTAAGAGTTAAATGGGGTTGCTACATCACTAAGGGCAACCACAGTAGGATCAAGTCGATGTTTCTGAGGACGAGGACCACGAAGGGTCAGTGCATGTTCTTGGTTCATTGTTAGTGCATGTCGAATGTGCTGTTGTAGCCATAAATTCTTCGCATGAATTCCTTGCAGCGTGAGAAACCCCATGTTGTGTCCACTTGATAAGGCCATCATGTGTAGAATAGATACGCCTTTGGATTTGTAGAGTGAGATTAGTAGAGGGATGGCTTGTTCTCTTGAGGATGGTTCCCATCCACCCTTGAAGCCTTGGAAATTAGCCCATCTCTTCTTCCTTTTTTCACCTCCCACCTAAAAAAACATGCATTGCAATACATAATCTTCTTTCAGATTTCGATACTTGTGGATAACACAAATGTTAAATGAAAAATGTATCAAGAATTATTGGTAAATGGATATATTGGAAATATTTTTGCAAAAATACATGGATAGCGAGGATGGTTTTACCAAGCTAACCAAGTCTGTAGAGGCAATGGCCATAACATTAGCACAAGACACAATGCCAGGGCATTGCAACTCCGAATCTCTCTTGGCTCGAGAGAAGGCATCATAGCCATCTGTCAGTGACAGATTTATTTCTGCATCGCTCTCCGCTGAGGCCTAGTGCATTTGGTCCTCTAGCAGTGCAAGGAACCAGGATCAAAAAGAAAAAAAATGGGTTGCAGAAAGAAGTGACAATTGAACTTTATCCATCAAGAAGTGATGTATAATGTGAAGGAAATTAATTATGATTCTCTTAACAAGTTCATCGTACTATATGTATAGTAGCTAGCTTGTCAAGTTTAGTCTCTTGAATCTGATAAGAGCACTCTTGGTTATTGCACCAACGATGTATGGGTGTTGTGGCAGCTGATGCCATAGTAAAATCCAAATAGAGAAGGATAGTTGAGACAACAAGAAAAGCCAAGCTACCCCAGCTTTAGTTTTGTTTCTGTACCCTCGAGAAAACCAGGGATAAAAGAGTTGTTTTGGCTTTTCTTTCTGGTTTTGGTGCAGCTTCTGCACTCTAACAGCATCTCCAATAAAAAATGTTACATTGAAGAGTTGAATAGAAAAAATAACTTTTTAAATGATATAAATATAGTTTTTTTAATTATATATATTTTAATAATAAAAAACTATTTAGAAAAGCTGTTTATATTTTAATATATTTCATGTTAAATTAATTTTAATATAATTATATAACTAATTTAGATATTTTATATATAATATAATTATGATGTTATTAATTATATAATTAATATGAGTAATTTATAAAATTAATGAAGTAATATGAAATTTAAAAGATATAATTTAAAATTTATTTATATGAATATTTTTAATTTTAAGTTTTATATGTTATTGTTA